CAGCCACATTGTCTATACATATAATTTGGGTTTTGTTAAGATACGACGTACTCTTGTGATCATGTAATTTCGTTGTAGGAATGTATTTGTCGGTGTTTGTCCTTCGTACCTTCGTGTATTATGTAAGGGCTGGTCACCTCACAGTCTGGTCTTGAGAGCGCATATTACTGACAAATACAGTCCCGTTCTCACACGACAGTCTTTATAGAAGGAGCAGCGAGTTGATGATAAATGGTCGGATTGGGGGCTGCATGCTGGTACGGCTACGCTACTTGTATGTATGTATGTATGTATGTATGTATGTATGCATGCATGTAATTTGTGTATGTGTGTATGGATCACCAGCATGGACAATCCACATGGGACGTGGCGATTACTTGCCACGCCTGCGGCAAGAAGGGTCACATTGAGTTAACCTGCTTGCCTGTCAAAAAAACGTGTAGTCCGGAGGAAGAGCCGAGTCTTCTACGGCTCCCGCTTCCTCCGGGAGTCAGATGCAATAAACCCCGTCGCCCAAGGGGGTACCACCGGCGCTGCCTGCGCGCTGGTCTCCGGTGCTGATGCGAGTTCAGGCACCGTTGCCGGCCCTGGTCCGGGCGCCCGCGCTGTACCGCCGCCACGAGCGCCAGTAGGTACTATAAAAAATAGTATAGTACGCCAGTACTATAGTACTATAGTACTATAAAAAGTACTTAAGTACTATAGTGCCCCTTCCGTTGCCGGCGGGACTGTTGATTCATATCCCGACGCTCGTGATTCCCGTGCCGACCTCGCCGCCTCCGGCACCGGCTCGAATGCTGGCGCTGGCCCGGGCGCGCGCTCTCTTGGTGCTGGCGCCGCTCAATGCGCAGGCTCATGCCGGAATTTTGTCGGGTTATAATAGACGGACAAATCAGCACCGCCGGACCGGCGGTCAACGTCAAGTCATCTGGTGATGTTAGAGACGGTGGTACTGACCACGTGCCTTGTATCCTTGTGCGCGGGTGGTGGCCGGCAGAATACCAGCTCGACGGCTGTCACCTGGAGGTGGACTTTCCACTAGCGGCGGCACGGGATGACTTCGGTGTACCCAGGAGCATGCGGTTTGTTCCGCTGGTCCGCCAGTCCGCTCACAAACAGCAACATGTGTGCTACCTCAACTCAGTGTGTGCCGCCTGGTTCCGGAGGGACCCGACTCACCTCTCTCCCGAGGGTCACGATAGGGTCGACGCCCCGGAGCTTCCCATATGGGTGCAGACGACAGCCGCCAGCCCATAACGAAAGCCACGACCAGAAGTGAGGGGTTTGCGAGTGGTCCCTATGTGAGGACAAGTGACATCGCTCGTGTTAACCCTCGCATGTGTAGGGGGGGGGGGGGTCGGATGGACCCCCCATGGTTTTTCGCGAATAACTCGCATAAAAAGCGGCCGATCGCGACGAAACTTTCAGTACCCTCACATTGATCAATTTTACACCTACCCTGAAAATTTCATGACCCTGACCCAAATGACCTTTGACCTGTGACCTCTTTTCCGAGACCATGTTCGGCCGGAATCGCGATTCTGCGTATATCGGCTCGCATTAGCCGCGCGTTTGCAAGCTTTTCGTGGTTTCAAACGTTCAAACATGTGATTTGATGTTGCTTCCATGCATTAGGGTGGGTGTCAAGGTCACCTGAAGGTCAGGTCAGGTCATTGACCTTTGGTGACCTCGGGTGACCTCGGTTCACTTTTTCGAGCTGTACATGTTTCTAGGCTAGTTTTTGGAGCTGAATTCGAATTTAGCAACCATTTAAACATTTACGAAGTAGTTTTGGTGCCTTCGTAACATGTTACGAAGCTGTCAGAGGCGGTTGACACGTACTACGAATACCCGTCACGACGCCTACTGGTTGACCTGACCTGACCTGACCTGGTCTAAATGCTTAAAGACATCATCTGTGATCAAAACTAACACGATATTCGTGATCAGCACCCCGAAAAACCCCTTAGCAGCCACACTTTACGACTTTCCCGACTTTGGGTCATTGACCTGACCTGGAAGGTCAACCAATGACCTAGGACCTTAAAATTGGGTATCATCGGCTTCCTCTCGTCACGGGCAACACGCTCGTTTTTTCCGCGAAGCTCTAGCTCGATCAGGGGCCAAACGGCAAGGGGGGGTCCAACCGACCCCCCCCCCCCTACACATTAGAAGCTGGCAAACGCCGCACACATGCGAGGGTTAACTTGTAAATTCCCACATTTGGCGGAGAGAATGTGACGATTCGATACCGAGTATCGGCCGGCGGGCCGATCGGCTGGCCGCCGCTGCTGCAGCGAGCAGCGCGCGCAGCCTACCCGGTGGACGCTGGGCCACCATTGTCTTTCACCTGCTAGGACCCGCTGCATATGAGGTAGACTATGTCCCCTGCTCAAGCAAACGGTGTCCTCTTCAGCCAGAAGATGAAAATCATGTGCCTAGTGAAGCCAACGCTGACATTGAGCTGCAGGACAAGTCTGCCATCCCCCCCCCCCAAAAAAAATAGTGGGTCCAATATTCCACACGTGCATCGTCGCACAGGATCGCTCCTCCGACGTGAGCCATGGACGATGTCCATTGGACCGATAAGCAGCTGAACCGACGAGGTGCACCCCCATCCTCGTTCAGCATCAAGACGGCGGATCTTTCTCCGGGGTCAGTCCCTTCCTGATCGCTGGGGAACTCTGCACCCTGGTTGAGGAGGTGCAGGCTGCGAAGTCCATGTCATCTGGCGCGCTCCTGATCAGTCTTCAGCCCCGAACAAGCAGATACTCTGCCCCGACTAGATCGCTTCATAGAAGAACCGGTGACCTGCGAACCAGCCAGCCGACAGAACATCAAAGAAGCTCTGACCTACGCTCTGACCTCTGACCTCTGTCCCTGGCCAAAGTCTCTAAGGAGATGTTATTAGAACTCCGCTCCCAGGGCGTGGCTGGGGTACGCCGACTCCGTTCTAAGGATGGGCAGCCACACCCAGGGTTGCGCCTCTCCTTCATTGGAAACGCGATCCCGGAGACCATCCGAGCGGGATTCCAAGATCTCCAGCTCAGACCGTGGATACCCAGCCCGCTGCTGTGCCAGCACTGCTAAAAGTGCGGACACAGTGCTAGGCGGTGCCGGACGGTGGTGGAACCACGCTGCCTCCGATATTCCGGAAAGCACCCAAAGGCCAACTGCAACAACAGTCACCGTCGCATCCACATCCACACGTAGCCAACTTCACGTACTTTGAGTTCAAAGAGAGGGGCAAACAACCAGGTAATGGTGCAGATGTGAATTTGTGAATTTGGTCGGGTTATTATAGAAGTACAAATCAGCACCGTCGGACCGGCGGTCAACGTCAAGTCATCTCGTGATGTTACAGACGGCGGTACTGACCACGTGCCTTGTATCCTTGTGCGCGGGTGGTGGCCGGCAAAAGACCAGCTCGACGGCTGTCACCTGGAGGTGGATTTTCCACCAGCGGCGGCACGGGATAGCCTCACCCCGTAGGTTTGGGGTACCCAGGAGCGTACGGTTTGTTTCGCTGGGCCGCCAGTTCACTTGGACTGTACTAAAATCAAAATTTATCGGCCAGGTAACCCAACCCTCCAACGGGTCACATATTCTCTACAAGAGTGCCAACACTGAAGGTTCTAGTTGGAACATCACCACAACGTCTGAAGACTCGTGTGTCAGATGACATGACGAGGACTTCAGCTCACCGTCCAACACTAAATATGTATATCCGACGAACCGCAAGTACAATGACGGACGGTCGGGGTAAAGACAAGTCAACGTACGAGCCACCTCAAGAAACAGACTCAGCCAAGTCCTCTCAGAGCAGACAATAACTGAGGGAGCACTAGTACCAAATGATGGAAAAAGAGGCCCTGGTGCCAGCATACAGACTGCCACAGAAAAGTAACACCTTTTTTGTTGCAAGCTATTTCCGGATTTACACCAAGAATGAAACAGCGCTGGCTTCCACCCTACTGCGTCAGACGCCAGTTCAGTGGCGCAGAAAGGATTCTTTGAGCGTAAAAAAGAAGACTGTTGGACTCACAAGGTACGTCCGTTGGGTTGGTTGCGATTTGCACCCGAGAGCCCTTCCCCGCCCATGTCCCTCCCCTACGGGTCTCTTCTAAGACTGGCGCGGTCGGTGGGACGTCACATCATCCCAGGCTGATGGCGCCGGCGGCCGAGGAGCTGTGACGGCAGCGCCGCCGCTGCTACCGTCCCCAGAGGGTGCTGAAGCACCGGAGTCTCCCCCAGACGCCGGCGTGGCTGCCCTGGTGGTAGGAGACTCCATGGTCCATCGGGCCGGCTTTGAAGCGAGTCCGCCACACCACCTTACCGTAGCGGCGCGGGGTGGCCTGGAGTGGACGTGTGGACGAGGTACTCGACTAGCTCCGTTAGCAACTACTGACTTGGGCGGAGGCCATACGAGCAGAGGGCCGGCGCCTGGGCCCGGTGTTGGTCTGGGTCGTAGGAAAACTACCAGAGGGTCGGCGCCTAGGTACGGTGTTGGTCTGGGTCGGGGGAAACGACATCGATCCCGGCCCAGGTGGGATCCGAGGATCGCCGGACGGCGTCACGCAGAAGATGAGCGCGCTCCTGGCGGATCTGGCCGGGGCCATCCCGAATGTTATCCTGGTTGGACGACGCACGACGAGGGCCTGCAATGGAGCAGGACGCCGGTTTTCCTCCTGGAGAGGCAAATGCTCTCTCCAAGGACGGCGGACGGGGGCCGGCCGTTCTGAGCGCCCGCCGTCGACTGTGCCGGTGGCGGAACGGCCGGACCCGCGGCCACTCGTCCACACCACCGCGTTCTTCGACCGTGACAAAGTGTACCTGACCGGCGTCGGCAACGGGCGCCCGGTGCCGTGGTCTATTTGCGGTCTATCTACATCGCGATCAAACTAATCATCAGTGCCTAATAAAAGAAATAGTTAATTCACTCATAAACACGAGTCAATATTGAAGAGAAGCACTGAATACAAGAAGCCTCTGGTGTTTCATAAAAAAGACGTCACGAATAAAATGGGGTACCTATTTGGGGAGCGGCTGTTCGGCTACACGCCGGAAGATGGGATTACTTAGCTCACCACTGACGCAGGGCTGCAGGATAGCTCACCACTGGTTCATATAGCTCAAATAAGCTCATCCTCCTAAATCTCCAATTAGCTCATCCTGAGCTCCGAGCTCCAAATTAGCTCACCAATGGCTTAAAACTACTCAAAGCTAGCCACTGGCTCGTTCCGCTCCGTTTAACTCCAAAGATGTCAGTCCTAAATAAGCTCACCGTCGGCTCATAGCTCCAAAATTGCTCGCATGATCACCATCAAAGGAATCGCTTCAATTGAGTTCCCAAATTCCACTTCCTAGCCACATCCCACCCGGCACTCCCTATCTCGGCCAATCTGCAGTCCAAGCACATCAGTCAACTAGACACAAATAGATAGCGCATATCGCGCTGACTCTGTATGAAAATAGCGTCTGTGGTCCATTGTCTAACATTATGAGCAATGGTGTGAGTGAACACCTTCACCGAACTGACATCACCATTGTGTGTTTTACCGAATCCCCTGATACCGAATCCCGAAGTGGTAGATTACCTGATCGCCTCAGCTAAGCCGGTGGTATTTTCCGGTTTTGGCGGTGGCGGGAGACACGCCAGGCTCACCCCCGCCACCGAACGCCGGTCTCTTCACACCGCTCCCCTCCTCTCCACCTAGTGTTTCACTGATCGGCCTTTTCAGGGCTGAGCCCGGCGAACCCACCGTTTCTGGTTCCATCTCGATATCCGACGTCGAAGAAGGGTTCACCGTCGGTGAAGCCGATGGTTGCTCCTCAGCAGGTGATGAAGAAGACGTTCCCGGTGCTCCTGATGATGCTCCAGAGGTTGTAGTTCGTCCAGGAGGCGTTGGAGGACAGGAGTCACTGTGTGTAGGAGTGACTGCCGTCTCCGGAGTATCCGTGGAGTTGTTCAGATGGTCGCCCTCAGCGGTCGGAGACTGGAGAAAGGGAAGGGGTGCGGTGTTAGTGCCCTGATGTGCTCCCAGATGATGTGTGTGACACGCCCTAGGATGATTATTGATTACCTATGATAAGCCTTGATGAGTATAAAATAAAGATTTATAGGAAACCTGTAATATTATAAGATGCGAAGCTATTGCTGAGTTGCGACACAATGTCCCATAAGAAAGCAATTTTGAAGCAGCTCAGCAATTTGAAGTCGAAATTTGATATCAACGAAAGCAATTAAGCACGCTGATCCGTGCAAGTGAAACAATACACAAATGGTATGGAAAACCGCAAAATACAATTTCCCGTGGCTGGAATCGAACCCACCCCCTCACACTAACTCACCTCATCGTCACTGCCGCGGTCCGAGTCCAGCGAGTCTCTGTCACTGTCCGACTCGTCAGGATCGACCAGCACCTCCGCTCCGGGGAAAATGTACCGGGACGGCGGCTGATGCAGATAGGCGCCTCTGTCGGAGAAAAAGACGGGAACGCCCGTCGGGTGAAGTCTGACCGCATGGAACCACCATGCTACGCAAAAAAGAGGTAGATAATTATGTTGCAGGAGCCAATTACATAATACTTCAGGCATTGAATGTACTGGGAATGAATACTGAATTCAGGACGAATACGAATACCGAATTCAGTAATACTGAAGGACAGACCAAAAAGTCCAAGGGAGAGGACCGCTTTCCTCAGCAGTCTACACGCCTCTGCCGGGCCGCCGCGGCGCCGGTCCCTGGACCGCCAACCGCTGACCCCGTCCCGGGTCACGCGGCAGGGGCGGCGCCAGGCGGACCAAGCTGGGAGGCGACATGGGCGGCGCCAGGCACCCCAATACCGGCGGTGTTTCACTGGACGCTGCTACCACGCTGATAGCGCATTTCGCGAGCTGACGTCACAGATTGTGACAGTGTTGGAGATACGAGTTTGTTGATGTCTCCATGGAAACCCAGTTTGACACGTGTGCTGGCAGCGCGCTAGTAGCGGCCGTGAAACAGGACGGGGGAGGTCGCAGACGCCCGTAGCAATAATTCCTATAAGTAATTCTGGCCAATCTCATGTAGCTCAAAATGATTCAGTACATTTTATTTACACATCAATAACAAAAAAAAACTATTAACTATCCATCCAGACTATTGAAAATTCAAACGATAAAAAAGTCTCTTCAATTCTTTATTTCAATGACGATGGTAAAATTGCAACACATTAACAAACCAAAATCTACTCTAAGCTACATCAATGGTGTGGCCAGTTCAGTGGACTACAGATATAACTGCCTTTTATACCACCACTAATCACCTGGCCAAACATATGGGTAATCTAGACCGGTGGTGTCTAAATACATAATCTAAAATCGCACCTAAAAGTTCCGCCCCGCTCGGGAATCGATCCCGCACTCACCGGGTAGTCTGGCAGCGACGCTCTCCTTCAGTTTCCTCTGCCAGCAGTGCCGGAGGGCGTCTGTGTCATTCTCGTTGGTCGGGTCGGCCGGCGGTGAGGACGGCGCAGATGGCGCGGGGCGAGAGGGTAGTTCAGTGAGCTCCCTCAGCGGCGGAGAGAAGGACCCTCCTCCGTCATCGGTAAGGAGCTCCGAGAATAAGCCGCCGAACCTGGGAGGGCAGGGGAATGAGCGTCAGTGTTTTTACGGCTATAGGTACTACTTGACAGAGTATCATTATGGGTGAGCACTGAGCTGCAGGTACAGCCCTCTGCAAACTGCGTGGTAGGTATTCTTTTTTCGACAAAACCGAGAATAACGCGAATACTATGCCATCGGTCACTCGGAAATCGTAACAGTATGACGCGCGAGACTTCGCACCTTAGATTGGCATTATCATCGTGTTCATTTTCTATCCAGTTTGGCAACAAAATCCAAAAGTTTATATTTGCCCCCAAAACAGACTTTTGCATTTCGTTGCCACACAAGGCGTATACTTTGTCTAGTGATGGACCTAATCGAAGAAGTGGAGCATGGCGCATCTATTTGCAGTGAGTTCCGACCGACTGATAACATAGCCTTTGAGTTATCACCGGTTTTGTCGAAAAAAGAATACCTACCACGCAGTCTGCTGAGGGCTGTACAAGACGTCTACATGCAAGAACATAGTCAGCCACACAGAAGCGTGAAATGACCCTTATTGACTCGCAGACCCGACCCTCTCGGCCCGCCTGACCGCCCAAGGAAGGAACGTTCGGCTCTCGTTCTACTAAACAAATGTCATATTTGTCAGTTTAACTGTTCACATCGCTATTAAAGTTATTCAGGAATCAGGATGCATGTGAGGAAAATTCATTGCACTTCTAGATTTAAAGCATGTCTTTTACTCTTTAAAGCAAAAAATACAATTACACCTCAAAGTTCAAAGCCTTTTAGGTATTTTGTCGGTATCATAGCTAAATGCAACTGGTATCATATTCGAATAATAATTATCATTGCATTCAAAGTTTTTAAGTCAAATTGTTAACAAATTATACAACAAATGTCAATGCATTAGGGTGAAAAAGGAATGCATGACACTTTCCTTTCCAGTGCATAAAAATAAGTATGGCAATCAAGGTAGCAGTATTGGGTGCACATTGTTCAATACAGTTATAGATGTCATGTTAATCTTTATATTTTCAATTCCCTGTTTCATCAGGACACTTCAGAGCAGGCAAAACATATTAATACATGGAAATGCATGTTCACATTAAATTTTGGTAGCCCTAGAGTGGGTTAAGAACTCAACTCAATGAACTATACTCACTATGTACGATCATGATCAACTATACTCACAATGTACAGGGTGTCCCAGAATTACCCGGACATTGTTAATTAGCGTATTAAATAAGGCAAACATGATTGCGCTTTTTTCTCTTTACCGTCCTATACATATAGTCAACTAGGGTGGCTGTGACATAGCACATGTAATAGATACGCTTGTTACAAGATCAGCCGACAATGATTGAAAATGCCAGCCATTGCTGGTCTCAGTTGTTTTACGGCTCTCCCGAAACTGGGTGAAGGCCTGTTTTCTTTGACCTGTTGCCGGAGGATAATACGATCATATAAGATAAACTTAACATCAAGTGTTCCCAGGTCATAACCCGCGCGGGGCTGGGGTCTCCAGCCGAACGCGCGGGGCTGGGGGGGGGGGGTAAATTTTACCCCCCCCCCTGTTATCTCCCGAACTAATGGTCCGATTTGGAAAATTCAAACGCCAATCGAAAGCTCTCATCACGAACTACTAAAAACATGTACTTAATTTAAAGTTTGAGGTCAAGGTCAAGGTCAGGTCAAGGGTACAAATTGCAAGTTTCTACAGTATCGGCCTTGCACCGTAGTTGCCGAAGAATGGAGTCATGGACTGAGACTGATCGCCCAAAACGTGTTCTTAGGCTACCAAGACAATATTCGTTGCATACAATATCATTCAGAGGTCAAGGTCAAGGTCAGGTCAGGTCAGGTCACCAAAAAACAAAATATAGAAAAGGGCATGTGCGACACATGTTTTATGGGTCATTCTACTCATAGAATTCAATAGGCACACTCAATAAGTGATATGGACCACCTCTGGATGAATTTCAGGTCGAGGTCAGGTCAAGGTCAGGTCAAGTGAGGTCAAATTTTGAAGTTGGTTGTTAAGGCCTAAAAAGGTGTCTATCTGATGCAGTTTTTCACGGCGAATCGAATGGTGCTATTTTTGTTTCCGTACGAGGTCTAGAACTTCCAAAAAAGTCATTTTTTCAAAAAAAAATTGTGTGTCGTGACGTCATAAAATTTTGAATAACTCCCACATTTTTGAACCGATTCTTCTAAAATTTGGTATGTAGGTGCACATAGACTACTTCTCTGACATATATTCCGGTTTTTTCGATAGACTCAAAATTTTGGATTTTATAATGATTTTCCCAGAAAAGTCAGTTTTTTGAAAAAAAAATTAGGCCAAAATCCAAAATTTTCAAAAAACCGAGATAGCCATTTGATAGACAAAGTAAAATTACGTATAACCTTTTTTGTTACGTCTTGATTCCTTTAAAAATGAAGATGTTAGCGGCGTTTGAACTTTTGCCGTTTTTGAGGAGAAAATGGCGAACATGACGTCACTAAAACGTCAATTTCTCAAAAATTTTCCGACGGATTTCGCTCAAATTTTCAGGGAACGTGTCAAATTGATGTAAGAAAAGGTACTGAACGTTTTTGAGATATCGCAAAAATTCGCGAGGGGGGGTAAAATTTACCCCCCCCCCCAGCCCCGCGCGGGATAAGGCATTATCCCCCAAAACAAAATTGCTGCCTACACCACTTTTGCCGCGTTTTTACATCTGAAGTGGAGAAGCTCCATGTCTGAACATGGCGGGACCTTTGGCTTCCAACAGATTTGGTTTCCAAAACAAACCCGTTCATGGCGATTTGGTTTACGGCATCCAGTTTTTTTTTTTTTTTTACTGGTAGAATATTACCGCAGTAGTACTCTGTGCTAACGGTTGTCTTTGGGCCATCATATCAAGCCCAATGAGTGCACGGTGGCTCAAAATGTCTCACAATTTGATTTTCGACGGGTGCCTGGCCGTCTCTGCTGTTGGGGCGTTGTAGCCATCTGACGTTCACACAAGCCTTTTCCGGGCGGTTCAAATGACAGAATACCTTCGTTAGACCACAAAGTGTGCTTCAATATAATTTTTTTTGTATATGGTATATTTTTGGGATGAATTGTAGTGATTTTCGCTGCTTTTCCCGTAGTTTTCGCATATTTTTCAGGCGAGAGACCCCGAATTCCAAAATTTTGCGAAGATAGTGGTGGAAAGTAGACTGATGTTCTTTAGATAATCCTGATCTATCGTTTAGCTAGTTTTTAGCTAGATCAGTGACGTTTGTTGTCCATGACAAGCAACCACCCGTTTGACAACTGGTGCATGACCCTTTTTGGCCGAGCCCAAGCTTGTCAATCAGGTTTATCTCTTGCTCTCTCTGGCTTCGTTAGCTGATATAATTGCGCTTTGCTCAATTCTAACTGCTTGCAGATGAGCTGCTGAAGCTCTCCAGCAAAAACCATGCCGAAAGTCCGTTTACAAAGTTGAAAACGGGAGTTGATTCACCATGGTTGCCTATTAGTGGCTTAAGCTGAAAACGGAAAAGGACTACTCTTACTTGACTCTGGATAATACTTGACTTGAGTCGTTACCGGTCACCAAAAGCACACAGTCCCCAAGCTCGATAGCTAAGGGATATCTTATAAAAGTATGATGCTTGTATATCATTAGAATCGAGCGCACTCGTACTTTTAGCCAGAAAATAAATGTCCGGGTAATTCTGGGACACCCTGTACAATCATGATCATAAGTCAATCTGGCATTTCATTTACACTGTCATCAGCCCCAAGGCCTCGTATAGAACTCCATCAGCCCCATATCACTCTCTAGGACTCTAGTAGGTACATTGCCCCATCACCCACCTTCAGCAGTTCCCTGAAGTACAGACTGCAGGCAGACAGCATCATCCCTTGGGCCCGGACACGCTGTCCCTCACAGCAGAGCGTGACATCCAGCAGCTCTCCTCCAGAGCGGAGCTGGTCAAACACGGACGTGACGCTGCCCTGGAACCTGTCCCACTTGAGGCAGAACTTCTGAGAATCCATCCTGGAGAGCTGTGGAGCAGGGGAAGACAGAAATTGGTTAGTTCGTGAGAGGTGGTGTGGTTTGTTCTGTTCTGGTTTGTTCAGTTTGGTTCTGATTTGGTTCCTACTTCCTTCTGTGATCCTGGGCCCTGTTTCACCGGTGATAGCAGCACGCTGCTTTTACACGTGTCAAATTGGGTTTCCATGGAAACATCAACAGGCCCATTGCTCCAACACTACCACAAGTGTGACGTCAGTTCGCGCAATTTGATAGCAGCGTGGTAGCAGCGTCCCGTGAAACACCGCCCTGGTATCCACTCTCAACCAGTTCAAGACCAGACTGGATGATCACTGGAACGTTTGTAAATAATCAGACATGATTGAGTTTTATTCACGATCGATTTTGACTTGTGTTGCCATCGATCGTGAATAAAACTCGATCACTGGAACCAAATCAGATACCTACTCCATCCTAGATTAGCTTCCACGAGAGTCCTCAGTTCCAGACTGGAAAAAATACACCTTATGCGGAATATGCCCGGCATAGTGACGGGATTGCGCCGAAAATTTCAGGGCCCGTCCGGCGTAACTTCGCATGCGCCGAATTCAGCGCATGGCGGCCACTGAACTTTTCGGTGCAGGGCGGCCGCATAATTTTTCGGCGGAAGGGAAGGCAGTCACCGAATTTTACGACATGCCAGTCAATCTACCATCAGTTTCGCCCTGCGGGCAGTCTGGAGACGGTGTGGAACGAGACATCCCTCGCCCCGGTCGTCGCATGCTCCGACTCGCAAACCGTTCTGAGTCTATTCAATGGAGGAGCGTCCGCCCTGCAGGTGATGCTTCCACCCTGGGCACGGAGATAGGTAAGGAAGACCTTGTTAAACATCGCAGAGCATCGTGAAGTAATCCTGCAGTGGGTTCCAGGCTCCTGCCCACTGCGGGATTGACGGGAATGAGAGCGCGGACGACCTGGCGAGACAAGCGACTGCACTGCCCTCGGACGCCAGCTCTCTGACCCGGGGAGTTAATTGTGCGGCCTCGCGTCAATGGCGCAACAAGGTCTGAGTCAGTATTCAAGCCACTCTTCGGGAGCACACTGCAGCCCCCATCCTCGGAGACGACCGAGAGGATGCCGTTTCGGTGCACCAGATGAGGGCGGGACACTGGGGCCGCACATTCCAGTACCTGCTGCACTAAATCGCCCGTCTCCTCTCCGCGGCATGTCAACAGTGGCCGAACAAGCGATGCCCTGCGGCACTGTGCACAATGTGCCAAGAAGAGGCTGACGCGCCGGAGCATGTGCTTCTCTACTACCTGGCCCTCGCTGGTGCCCGCCAGTCTAAAACGCACAGCTCTGCAAATTTTTGTGGCCCTGGAACTTCCGTCCCGGGCCTTGTTTCACGGTATGACACTATTGGTGCACACTACACGCATTGTGGAATTGAGTTTCCATAGAAACATCAACTAATTCAGACGCTTGAGCCCAGAATGCTCTGCCTGGTTGATATAACCTTGGTTGGTAGATGTGCACACATGCTTTATGTAGAAGTGGCTTAATTTTGGTGCAAATAGACACCCAACTTTCAGCGAAAATCATGCAGAAATTTCGGCGCAAAATCGCTAACGCCGAATTTCGGCACCCTGCGATTTACAGCCGCCAGTTAAATGTGCACAGAGTGAGTGTAGGCCTTGTGTGGTTAAAAAACATCCTTATGCCTTATTTTAAAGTCTGATTTTATGACCATATATGGTCATCACCCAGCCCACTCCAGCCATTGATTGGCTGATCCAATTTTTGTTTGGCTCCTCGTAGTTTTCCCAACTGATATGGTCATCAAAAGTATATTTTTTAGGGCTGTTCACGACGTCGGTTTATGTGGTTTACATAAACTGCCCTCGGGGCACGTTCCCGGCTGTGACGTCACATGGTGTTTACGTTTATGAAACACAAGTGTTTACTCAAACAGTGACAACTAATAAGCAGTTGAGACGATACTGTAAAAGGTGCAAAGAAAAGATAAAATATGTCTCATATCATGACATATTGCGAGAATAAGGACAGTTTTCATCACAAAATACCAACGACGCTGGACGCTGGTTAGCAGAGAATGATGCTCAAAATAGGTCTTAATTACAATGATATAATAAAACCTACCATTCCAGTCCTCTACAACCCGTGCAGGGTTATTTTGAAACTCATTCACCCACCTACCAGCCCCTGAACTGACCGAATTCAAATTTCCTAACTCATACCTAACTCGCTTCACGAGTTTGCCGCACATCGCCATCATTGTCAGATAAACGCGTTTACACACAATGTTGATGCTCTGAGGCATCAACCGCATTTACGCTTTACGGCGGTCTGACGTCATTGACGAGCTGTGACGTCAGGATCAGGTCGACGCTGATTGGTCCTTAAAAAAATAAACATGTTTATGGTTTATTAAACGGGACAAACCGACGTCGTGAACAGCCCTATTGACCAATCAATTTTTCGATCTTCGCCTCGTAGTTTCCCCAACTGAATTGAGCGGGCATTGCTACCAGTTATGACGCACCCGTGACATTTGCAGCGCAAAATGACGGAGGCTCCGAGGGTTACCTTCGACCTTAAACTCGTTAAAATTAAAATTCGAGTAAGAAATACGAATAGAAATAAAAAGGGACATACCAATCACAATTCAGTTGGGCAAACTAGACCTTTGGAATCAAAATATGGAGGCATCAAAAGATTGATTCCTTTTGGGCATAAATGCAAACCATTTCTAACTTACCAATCACATAAAAATAAGAGAGTGTTTCAAGAAGGAGCATGCCTGATCTTGAACAGAAATGCTTGAACTATCTCCTAAGCAAAATAATATTGCTCCTATCATAACAATTTGAATTCTATAGGTAGTGAAAGGCAATCAAGGAATTGATTCACTTTAAACAGATAATCATAATATTGATTCCCCATCAGCTGGCTAATCATTATTTTGATTCACAGGTAATGTTAACAGATAGGCAACAATTGACTTGCAAGAATACAGCATTTATCTTGCTATTATTCTCATTTAGTGGTATCCTCAGCACCACAACTGATACCTATAGCATTGTTGTACTTAACCTTCACTACATTTGATAACAATTCACAATTTTTAAATGTCAAGAATACAAAAACTGAAGCAACAGGTAAAAACCATATAAATAATATAAAAGCACTACAACAATGATAATTAGGGGTTTAAAAATTTCATTTTGCCATTTCACACAAATACTGATTGGTTAGTATGTGATTCATGATACAAAAATAACATACAGTGTGATTTCCTCAAAACAGCTTTTACGTGATGGACAGTGGCTCTGTCTTTTTCCCATTCACAAGGCCAAAGGGACAATTTCTTAGCTTTGAGGTAACACTTTTTGCAAACCTACCACATTTTTCTACCTTTTAAAAGAAAAATCTCACCGTCATGGGCCTTTTTTCAAGCGTAACGATTCATTTGAAGTCAAAAGTGTACCCAAATGAATAAAAAAATTGATTCCATGCCCATATTTGGTCATGGCTCCTCCCACCAGAATCGAATAATTGATGCCTCCATATTTTGATTCCAAAAGTCTAGTTTGCCCAACTGAATTAGCATCAAGAAACGCCCACTACACCAACGTACACCAAAATTCAAAAATCACCACGAGCGTTGCCGACGTCCTGCCCCTTGCCAACGTCGGCGTCAAAAGAAATTCTTGCAGATAAGCATCAATCAAGCTTGGTATATAAAAACACTGCATAAAGTAAACTTAGCAAGAATTACACTTTCAATTTGTCAAAAGCAAATGACGTCATTTTAGAATATGCAATGTTTTCTTTTTTAAAGTATATGCATATTTAAAGTCACCAGAGAACAAGTTATTATAAATTACACTTTGTTTAAAGAAATATATACTTTTCTTAAAAATGAATGAGTTATTAATAGAATTGTACAAATTGTCGTAAAGTTCTTTACAAAGAGCGGTATTTTGCCCAAGAGCTTTTTAATAACTCTATTCATGGCAAATTCTATGGCAAACTCACAATTTCCTTGTAGTATTCTTTATTATTTTATTGCTGCCTATTCTGCATTATTATCTGAAAAAAAAATATTGACGAATATTACAAAAAGTAATACAAAATGTGAATTGAATTTATTTCAATGAAACCTTGAATGAAACTTCCGGTCTCAAGCAGAAGATGAATGTAAGCGAAGAGCGAAATGTAAGCAACAGGAAATCAACAAGAAGCAAGACAATTACCTATTGATATTTAAGCTATAAGTTCCTATAATATCGCGATTGTGTTGTTTTCGCACTTGCTGCGACCGTTGATTGAATGTTAAGATGGAAGTCGAAGATCAGAAGTTTAAACACATACGACAGTTCTTTGCCGAGGACGCCTGGGGAGCCCTAAGTGATCTCGAGAAGCAGGTTTATTGTAACATGAAGTCCAACTATGACAAGTTATCTGAACTTGGTAAGTCCAAGCTACCCATTTTTTACGTTTTTATATGTTTAATGAATCACTTATAAGTATATGTCTCGTGGAACCGAAAGACTTAACCCTACAAAACAGAACCAATCGCAAGCATTCCGTCAGTTTCTCGGTAATGTGTATCTCCATCAACGGTATCAGTATCAGTATGGAGATGTCGTTAATCCACGAAAAAGGTGTGCTGAGGATTACGGAAAAGCAAGCTGCAAACATCTTGCCCAGTAGCGGTGGAGCACCTTCAATTAACCCGCGCCCGGCTGGGGGTCCTGGATTTCCACGCCCTGCTGGGGGGGGGGGGGTGTTTGAACACCCCCCCTTGTAACTCGGCTCCTTGGCCTCGTAGCGATACGCAGAAGGCGGCGTTCGAAAGAGCGTCACAAATAATGACGAAATCACTTCGGTCAATTTTTTGGTCAGGTCAAAGGTCAGGCCACCAGAGGTCATTGAAGGCAAAATTTCGCCGATTTCCAGGTCGAATGTCGAAAATTTCCAAGAAGCCAACGCATAACTCGGGAACCAATAGAGCTACAGCGCCGCGAAAAAGCGCATTCGATAGCCCTATTAACGCCCTTTCTGAGTAATTCTCTCAGATTTGACCTAACGTCAACGGTTTTGCCTGCAGGGGGCAAAAACTGCAAAAATAGCCGATTTTTTCGGAAACAGTTTTTCTGCAATAACTTTTGACCCAAGCCTTGTACGAGCTTAGGGGAGAGTGGGGCACATTCGTGCAAAAAATGGATAAATCCATATATCTGTTCGTCGGTTAGTGCAATGGCAAAATTGTTGATTGTAGTATGGAAAGGAACTATTGCAGATATTTGTCCTCTTTAAAAGTTATCCTCTAAAGTTGTCGCTTCTATTAGAAAAAATGACTTTTAATAACTCTGAACTTTTGCACGAAACTGCCCCACCTATGGGGCACATTCGTGCAAGGGGTGGGGCACTTCCGTGCACCCTGCAAAGTTCGAAGAATTACCGGGCATTGCCAAAAATTTATCAACAGAAATTGGCAGGGGGTCCTTTCACTTGATTCCTTTCGACAAGAATGCATTGCACAACATATGTAGAAAGAATGGGCTGGCCAACAAGAATGTGCCAGCCGCCGGCCATCGACCCGGCTCCGTGACCTTTCCAAGGACACCTGAACTACTTGTCACGACGTCGCAAGCAGCCGAGACTGAGTCAGGCGAGCGTCACTACTACAGATAAAGTCATAAATCGCAAAAACGAAAAAAATATGGAGGAATGTGCCCCTAGGCAGTGCGTACACGAACCTGCCCCACAACGTTATTTGTAAAATATTTCAAAATTTCTTATTGAAAAATGACAGTTTTTCAACAAACTAGTTTGCAGCAGTTCCGTGAATGAAGTGAGCTTCTTTGCTCTCAATTTTGAAAAGTTAACCCACATTTCCGAGTCAGGATCACGAAAATGGATGATATGAGAAAAGTTTGGAAAGCGCACGGATATTACAAATTTGCGTTTTTATCCAGCATGACAGCAGGTACAGTGTTGTCTTCTACAGTGAGCGAAGGGCGGCAATGATAGACATATTTTCATAATTTACCTTTAGCTCGTGCAGTCACTCGTCTTCCCATAAACTGCAGAAAACGAATGTGCCCCATGCACGAATGTGCCCCACTCTCCCCTACTTTTACCGGCATCGTGTTCCTCTCGTCAAGACGCATCGAATGAACTATAACTTGACCTTGAAAGGTCAACTTGAAAATTTGACCTCAGGTCAAGGTCATGACCTGACCGGAAACGGTCATGTTGCATATCAGTCGATCCGTATCGTCGAGCTGAACACATCTAAGGCGTTTTCATCGCTCTAGCATGCCTGTATCAAAAGTTATTTGCGAAAAACTGTTAGATACCATTCGTGACCTAAGATGACCTCAGGGCATAAACAAGGGTCACGGACACCATTTTCATGTTCAGTGTGTCTAAAACACTTGTAATTCGGTGTTTGGGAGCGTTTATAATGTCTTTCGTCCAAAAGAGGCGCATTTCAATGTTCGCCCATTGACTTATAATGGGGAGGTCGCAAAATTGACCTGACCTTAGGTCATCGATATCAAAATTCTGAGATATACATTTTGTACATGCTATTGCTCTTAGTAATCGCTGAAAGTTTCAAAGCGATCGGTCACTCGGTGTAGCTATGACAGACATTGAAACTTTTTATGAGGTGAGGTCACTTCAAGTGACCTGGTGACCTGACCTTGAATGACCTTGGTCTGAAATTTTCACAACATGTGTAGAATTGATGTATGATAAGGTGTACCAAATACGGCGGCGCTCCGCGCCGCCGTTTTTGAGATATTCGCGAAAACCACAAGGGGGGGGGTGTTCAAACACCCCCCCCCAGCAGGGCGCGGGTTAACCTGCGCCCCCGGCCCCGCTGGGGGGGGGGGCAGAATCTGCCCCCCTCCCGTTTTTCGCCAATAACGTCTAAACGCGTTACGCTAGCGACGTCAAACTTTCAGTACCTTATCATACATCAATTTGACACATTCCCTGAAAATTTGAGCGAAATCCGTCGGAAATTTTTTGAGAAATTGACGTTTTAGTGACGTCATGTTCGCAATTTTCGCCTCAAAAACGGCAAAATTTCACGCACCGCTAACATCTTCATTTTAACGGAATCAAGACGTAACAAAAAGGTTATACGTGATTCTTCTTTTGTCTATCAAATGGCTATCTAGGTTTTTTGAAAATTTTGGATTTTGGCTCAATTTTTTTCTTCAAAAAACTGACTTGGGGGAAAATAATTATAAATCCTAAATTTTGAGTGTATCAAAAAAACCGGAATATATGTCAGAGAAGTGGTCTATGTGCACCTACATACCAATTTTAGAGGAATCGGTTCAAAAATGTGGGAGTTATTCAAAATTGTATGACGTCAAGACACACAAAAAATTCAAAAATGATTTTTTGGAAGTTCTAGACCTCGTACGGAAACAAAAATAGCACCATTCGATTCGCCGTGGTGAAAAACTGCATCAGATAGACACCTTTTTAGGCCTTAACATTCAAGTTCAAAATTTGACCTCACTCGACCTGACCTTGACCTGACCTCGACCTGAAATTCATCCAGATGTGATCCATATCACTTATTGAGTGTGCCTATTGAATTCTATGAGTAAAATGACCCAGAAAACATGTGTCGCACATGCTCTTTTCTATAGTTTGTTTTTGGTGACCTGACCTGACCTTGACCTTTGACATTGTATGCAACTTATATTGTCTTGGTAGTCTAAGAACACGTTTTGGGCAATCAGTCTCAGTCCATTCTTCGGCAACTACGGTGCAAGGCCGATACTGTAGAAACTTGCATTTTGTACCCTTGACCTGACCTTGACCTGACCTCTGACCTACTAAAGCAAAAAAATTGGGCTCTTAAGATCCGCCTTGTTGAGAGCTTTTGATTGCCGTTTTCCTCGTCTTTCTACGACCATCGGTTCGGAAGTTAGACAGGGGGCAGAATCTGCCCCCCCCCCCAGCAGGGCGTGTATGGCTGAATAGCCCAGCGGGGCGCGGGTTAAGGGGGTGGGGGCACTGCCGACTTTTGGTCCCTTTCTTTCCATGCAACGCCCATAGGGCTAATGTTAAAATGCCAAAATCAAGGGGGGCACGGTGCCCCGTGCCCTACCCTTTCCGCCGCCTATGATCTTGCCGGTATTCAGTATGAATCATAAATAATGGTACCTACTACCTATGAAATAAACGAGCATTATTCGGTAGTTTGTACCTGTTGGTTCGTATCTCTATCGGGAGGATTGACCCCAAGCCCCCTGCCAGTTTCTTTTGGTAAATTTCTGGTAATACCTGGTAATTCCTCGAACTTTGCAGAGTGCACGGAAGTGCTCCACCCCCATGCACGAAAGTGCCCCATACCTGGGGCAGTTTTGTGCAGACGTTCAGAGCTAATAAGTCATTCTTTCTAATAAACGCGATAATTTTAGAGGATTAATTTTAAAAAGGTAAATATCTGCAATAGTTCCTTTCCATACTACAATCAACAGTTTTACCATTGCACCAACCAAAGAGCAAATAGATATATGGATTTATCCATTTTTTGCACGAATGTGCCCCAGTCTCCGCTAAAGTGTAAAATGTAATAATCCCTATGGAACGGCTGTTTGGAGAACCGAAGTTTATGATGCTGGGTGGTGAGGTGTAATTGCCTCATCGAGTTTTCCAGCCTAA